GGGTAGAAAACATAGACTACTGATGATCGTGGATGAGAAAAAAGGAGCAATTACTCATAGTCTCCCAGAGTTGTCTAAAAGTTTGTGGCCGTGGTCTTCATGTCTCTAATCATATAATGGGCTGCATAGACTTGACAAAAGTACATGAACAGGGAATTAAAAGGTCACATGTTTTCTGGCTGGAGCTCCAAATAAGACAATGGGTTCAATATTACATACAGACTCCCATGGATTTCTATGGGAAATGTAAGCATATGTAGTTGGCCTTCTGCATTCATGGATTCGGCATCCATGGATTCAATCTTCCACAACTTGAAAATATTTTTAAAATCCAAATGCAACCTTTGATTCTACCATTATATGTAAGGGATATCATCTTATTCCATCACTGAATATAACTAGTCTTCAGTACCCATTGTGATGTCAATCTAAAGCAGGAAGGAATATCACATGGTTTACGAGCCATGCAAGTCCCCTAGGGCCTATCTCAGAGGGATCTTGGATACTTCTTGTTGAAGGAAAAACAGCCCAGAATGAGAACCAGCACTTCTGGAAGTCTTTAGGAGGGATTGCCTAGGGCATGTCTTGTTTGCCTCATCCCTCCAACTCAAAGACTATTTTTTAAAAAGAGAATATGAAATGGACTTCTGGTTGCAACTGATTTTATGGGAATGTGTGTGATGTGGCAGGGCCTTGGAGCAGAAAATTGACCACTGAACTCCTGGAGTTTGCTTAACTCTCATTTTTAATATGGTAATTATAAACAGATATTGTCCAGTGTAGATATTACACGCTGTTGATTATTTCTCAGTTTGATGATGGTAGACTTTAACAAACTTTAATTAGGAGTCACTTGAGGACTTCCATTTGTGAGATATGCTCTTGGGTTTGATAGTTTTATCAGTACAGAATATTTGCCAATACATTTCACTATTTCTTATATAATGCCACACAAATGTTTTGTTCTACAATATCAGAAAAAAATATAGTGTTTGTCATTATGACTGCCAATCTATTATAGATGTGAGCTGATTAATCATCTTCTAATTGTTAATTACATTTAAGTAGAATTGTGTATAGTAAAAGCATCAATATTGATTAGATTCCTCACTGAGAAGTTTCAAGGGCAGCCATAATTTTCTGTAAGTGTAGCAAACAAAAACCACCACTTGTTAAATAGAAAGAATTTAACCTCTTTTTTTATCCAGTCAGGAAGCTTTGAGTATACAGCATTTCTTTGAAAGAAGGGACAGAATTAAAATGGGCTAAAAGTAGAATTAATTTTTCATTACTAACATGTCTTTCTGATCTTGGTCAAAGATCATCTTGCCTTCATGAAACACAATGCTACCACTGTGCTGTGCCAGATTCACTTTGTCATCTGAGCCACTTTCTTCCTTTAGAGATACCTCTTTAAAGATTATTCCTACTGACAACAGGAGCTGGTGTGATGAATAAAACCTGAAGAACAGCAGGCTGATGAATGCAACCTTAACATGGCAAGGAGCAAAGTTGCTTAGCTTGCTATGACAGTGTAGGAGGATGTGGATGTGTACCTTTGACACCGGAAATCCCTCTGTAGACATACACCCCCCTTTTTTGAAACTTTGCAACTATGGAACTGCTCTTCAAGATGTTGGCAGATGGACATGTTGCTTCCTTGTTCAAAGTGTGTGCATAGGTTGAGGACAGAGCTTGGAAAAGTAAGGGGTTGACTAGAAACAGTGTTTCCCAAACTCTGCTCTTCCAGGTGTTTTGGACTTTAGTCCCCAGAATCCCTGATCATTAGCCAAGGCAGCTGACTTTTTGGGAGTTGAAGACCAAACCTTCTGGAGGACTAAGTTTGGGAATCACTGGAGAGGATTCTGAGGGCTTTGACCTAACCTATGGTTTTTCCCATCTGTGGATGGGGAAGAAGGAAAGCCATTGGTAGTTTTCTGAGCATGACAAGACTATAGAAAGTTCCTCCATTCTTAGATCAACATGATGCTATAATATAAATTCTCACTTCCTATAATCAGAGTATAATTCCACATAAGAGATCTTGGCAATGAAGTTGCAACACAGAGCTGAAGCCTTGGGTTCAATAATCATGTTGTGACCAATATTCTGCATACCTCTGAAGGCTGCACCATTCCAATGCATTTTTTTTTTGCTGGGGGTGGGAAGACTTGGTTTTTCTCTGGCTCTTTGGTGTGAGCAATTTATTAGAAAAATGGCCAGGATTCATTTGGGGATTTGCATGTGCATAAACACCATAATTACAGTGCCACACAGTGAACCCCTCTCTAGTCCCTTAATCCCTATTTACAGGGAAGCAGCTAGTGCAATTGATGGAAATCTGTTCCTGTTGATCAGGAAGCATCTGACTGATGTTCTCATCAGCAGGACCCCTGTCACAGTTACCTTTCATGCTGCACCATCAGCCAGATGTTTCCTCACCCCGCTTCCAATTGATCACAGCAGTTGCTTCCTAGTATATTGAGATTGGGAGTGGGGGGTGAGGGAGGGGATTTCACATCCTCCTAAACTAGGAGCTGCATAGGGATTGTGAATATGAAGCAGTCACAAGTATGGGTTGCACATTCATAACTGCCCAACAGGATTCTTGCCAACGACAGTATTACGAACTGTACTGCTTAGTTTTATGAACTCACTGGTTGTTAAAAATCATGTTAAAGGTGGTTATATTTCAAAAGAAGGAAATGGGATTTTGCCAACTCTACTGAGCCCCGTGTATTATTCCCTTTATTTATATCTCATCTTTTACCCAGAACCAAAACTTAAGGCAGCTTACAAATTACAGCAGATGCAATGTGGATGAAAATATTATAATTAAAATATGATTGAACTATCAATAATGTTAAAACAACATGAGCATATACAAAAAGAATGAAAAGCAGTTAAGATGGTACAGTACTCCACTAAACTCTTTTCTTGTAAACCAAACAATTCTTGAAAGTATGTTGGAATTTAAAAAAACCTCTTTGCTTTTAAATAGGACAGCAAAGGGAAGGGACATTTGAGCTTCCTTAAGAAGTGAGTTCTAGGTGGCATTGATAGGAAGCCAATCTCCCACATTTTCAACAGAGTACCTCCAAGTCTCATCACAACAAAACTGACCTGGATACCCTTAAACCTTTTTATGGTATTAGAAATGAGTGTGGGATATAGATAATCTAACCTCATCCAATATATAATCCCTCTCTGGAACTGGGAGGCCAGCCCACTCTTAGTCTTTCTGAAAAATCAGCAAAGGCAAGGGTTTAAATTACATGCAGTGGCACTCACCTCTTCAAAGTTCCTGTCCACAGCTATATCCTCATGTTGGGCAAATGTAAGTATCCATTAACAGTGGAAAAGTGGGAGTTGACATTAAATCCACTGGGGCTACATCTACTGTAGTATCTCTTATCTTGACCGAGTCTGTGTAAAGCTTCTGGCCACTCAAAATAGCTCTTTTGCAGATTCCATGGTGTTAGGATTGTTTTTTGCCTTCCTCCCTTTTTTGCCCACATTATCATAGAATAGGATTTAGCCTGTTAAGAGTCAGTCTGGGTTTTCTGGTACTGTTACTTTATTAATTACCATCTAATTTTATAGATCACTGGCAATTCAAAACTAGGGGTTTGGGTTTGGTTCCACTTTGTGTCTGCTGCCCTGACTAGTTCATTTCCCAAGCCAGAGATCAAGAAGGGCTTCAACAGAATCACCTGGTGACATGACAGGAAACTCGCCAGCCATCTAGATCCATCAGCCTCTTGGGGAAGATGACCTTACCCAAGCACCCAATAAATCCAAGTTCCATCAGGTAGAACTTCAGAACGTTTCTCTACTCCCCGATCACCGTCCTCCTCTGCATAGAGGTCTAAAGTGTGTCTTGCAGATAACCATTTGGGACAGTTGGATGGTTATCATGACAGACATGAAATCATGAGCCATAGGATTATATCAGTATGAATGTTGAAGTCCCCTGGTACAATAAGCCAAATGGATACCAACATCATACCTAAGACCATTCTAATTAGGTCAAAATGGGAAGCTGTTAAGAAGTGGGATGGGCAGTTCACCAACAAATGCCTTATTCTATGCTGGGCATCCCATTTCAAATATGGGCACTTGAACTGAGCAGACAATCTGAACCCTATATCTCTGTTCTCCTTCCATCTTGGTGGGTGGTGCAGAAAGAACCATGATGGGGAAACTTGAGTGATTCTCACCCACCCTACAGCCAAACATGCTGGTCTGGCTTTATCCTGTTGGGAGAAACAAGCAAAATCGTCCTAGATGGCTATTATTTTCCTATTCATTGACTTGGCATTCAATAACAGCATTTTCAATTTGGGAGACCAGATGCCAAGGATAAACTGGGAGGCAGTTTGGATGCACCCCATGTATACTTCTCTATGATTTTGATGGTGGGGATTTGTATAAAGGAACAAATATACTTTAGGCCAAAATTATCCATATTGCTCAAGATTCTTGGTTGGAAGAAATATTGCAAAGTGGAACTATGAAACATCTCCCCCTCTCATCCTCTCGCCAAGTAACCCAAGTAATGGCTGGTGGGTAAGCCACAGTTTAAGGGATCATGATAAAGACTTGAAGCCACAAAGGCTTAAACATAGCTGGGGGTAAAGGAAGAGGAACTGTGTTAGCAGTCAGAACAATTGACAAGGTTGAAATCTATCCCCCTATATTACTGTTTTGTCTACGGTGAGAGCTGTTCAGCAGTGGAACTCTCTGCCCTGGAGTGTGGTGTAGGCTCAGGCTTTTGAGGCTTTTAAACAGAGGCTGGATGGCCCACAAGGTCTATTCCAACTCTATGGTGCTAAGTTAGCATTGAATTGGGATTTGGCACTTTAGCTAATGGACAAAACCACCACCCTGGCAACCAGATTTTTAAGATGTGTGGCCATCCAAAGTTACCAAAGTTTAAATAAACTGAAAATAAGCAACAAAAATAAGGGAAAAAATAAGCATCAAGTTTCCAAACAGACTTCATACCAGCTAGGCTGTATTTCTGAATTTATTAGAAACAGCGGTCAGTACATCCTTCTAAAACATTACATTTAAATGTGCTTTATTGCAATCTTTTATTGCATTTTTATTCTAAAGCAAAGTAGGCCAGAATGCTTAGTGTCTGGGATTCCAAAGCTCAACCATCTATTTAAAAAATAGAAACATACAGTAAGATCATAGCACATTTGGTGACAAGTACAATGTTGCATTACTCATCTAGAAACTACAATATGACTAACATACAACTGTTTTCTTCATGAAGCAGTTTCTCTTTAAAAGTTAAACTACATGAAGTTGACTATACCATAAAATGACAGAAGAACAGGTTTTACATACCAACAAGACTACCAAAGTTACATGCTGGAATTCATATTAAAAAGAACAAAAACAAAAACAATCCCGATTGCTTCATGAGAAGCAAATCTTTGACAAATAGCATCCCTTAAAAGGAAAACCAAAATGGATTTCAAGAATGCAATGTTCATGTGCGGGATGTACAAAGGAGCGCACAGTCCTGGCATGTCTCAATACAAGAGGACGTTTACCCACTCATTCTTACAGAGATACAAACATTATACTCGCCTTACACAGTGATTAATGCTACGGCTCTCCTTTGCACATTCATTGTAGATGGGGCTTCCACCAATTTGAAAATGTGCAACAGTTACTGTATCTCAAAAGAAATGGAGCTTCTATAAAATGTTAACAACTTTGCTTTGAATAAATTTTCATGTTTTATTTGGATCAAATAAGTAAAACACTAAAAAAAAAAAGAAATAAAAAGTACATCAAGAAAATTAGTGATAGACTCCATGTTGGGAGGGGGGCAACTAAAGAATGATCCCAGCTTTCCATCATGGGGTGAGTAAAGTAAGTGCAAATAGTGAAATGGGACTTTCAGAGGGCTAGAGCCACGTATGGCTAATGCATATAAGGACATGTGTATGTGAATTTAGTTTCCATATATCTATATACATACAGTACATATACACACACACAGCGAGAAAGGGGGCAGGGGGAAGCGATTGGTTGCAGACCAGTACAATCCCATGGTGCTGTAAACTGGCAAAACTTATAAAGTTATCAATAGACCAAGTCAAACGTCTTTGCAATCAGTCACTCAAAGACCAAACACTCTGCACTTTAAAAGATTTACTTGAACAGCTGGCTGGCATCTTTAAGGGTGCAACCAACAGACTTATGATGAAGAGGGAGAGGAGCATGTTGACTCCTGAAAAATATCTCGAAATAGTAGTTTGTGTAGCAAATGTCTGCACCCTACCTAGGAGAATAAAAAAGGTGGCCCGAGATGTAGACTGGAGAAAGTGCAATCTTCTCATGGATATAGGCAAGATATCAAGCAGTATGAAAAAACAGAATGGACTTCAAAGAACAAGACTTATCACTACATGTTATACTTATTGTATTAGTGAGTTGCTGAGTCCCACCAAACACAAAAGATGTGTCTGTCTCAATCACTGCATAGAGCTCTTCAAGCTAAGTTCTAAGTCAGTAGGACATCTGTATTTGGGATGTGATAAGATCAAAGCATGTTGTGAATCGTAGAAAAAAATCTGCATTAAAATCTACAGAGCCAGCCCCATATGCCAGTGCTTAAAACTTTGTATCTTTTAGAAGTCACAGACTGATCTCAATCCTCATGCACCCTTTGGAACGAAACAGATCTGTGGTATTCCCAAGAATTCCCTCCCTGGAGAAGTTTTCTGCCAGCAGAACATCAGATCTGCAGAACTTTCACTATTTCTTATAGTCAAGTCTAAACATATTCTGATAGGGAAAGTTTTTCTCTCAGGACCAAATTAGATAAACTGGATTCTCCATGATCAGATCTCCCCTGTAGTGTTTTTAGTTCAAAGCATTTGCATGGTCCCTAAATTATACAAGAGAAAGGGTGGTTGGAGAGGAGTTGCTGGAACATCTATCCTAGTTTCATCCCATTCTTAATCACACCACTGAATCAGTATTTACTGCAGTAGGAAGCAAGAGAACACACAACTGTGCATCTGTTCTCCTCTACGAGGTAAATAGCATGTGCTGCAGGGGTCAAGAGTATAATGCAAGAAAAAAAGCATTTCCTCTCACAAAACTGATTCCTAAATCTAACTGAAACCTTTTTACTGCTTTGAACTGAAAACATTACATAGAGAAGAACTTACTTTGATCTTTCAGCAGTCCTGTATCCTTTGGATTTTAGTACACTTGTCAAACCATTTTTTCCTATTTTCTTTTTTAAAAAATGACTGTAATTTCCCTTTCTCGTACAATTTGGGCCCAAAATTTTGCTTTGTGATAAAGTCAAGAGGGGGATTGTCTGAGATTTAGGGTTTACGTGATATGCGGTGACCAGGTATGTGTCTAGAGAACTGAATCCATTGATAGATGTTATTAATGTACCACCACCCGGCATTCCTCCCTGTGGCTTGTGACTACATGGACACCAACTATTTAATGGAATGAAAATATATTAAATGGCTTTTCCCTTTAGTTGTTGCATCACATGAAAGGGCTCTACTGCAGACACTGTAGGTTTTTGGAGCTCCTTCAGTTAAGACACCATAATATGGAGGGATGGAATTGACCCCCCTCCCTTTTCCAAACTATTAAGGTGTTCCTGCTGTTGCTTTTAGAGTTTCCTCTCGATTTTGACTTCAGTGTGGGATATTGGGGGGGGGGGGCAACATGGGCAGAGAGAGGAATGTGTAGAAGCCATGCCCAGTTTGACAGCCACAATGGCTGTAGCTACAAGTAAGTGAAACTAGCACAAACATATTAGGACAGCAAATAAATAGCATAGCAGCAGGTGGATGCCATGGACAGACATAGCTTCTATCAACTGGATAATTGGTGGATTTTCCAACACTGGTTCTGACTTTGGTGAAATAGGGCTGCTATTGAGATAAGAAATTAATTTCCTCACTTTTGAGGCTGGGAAGTGAGGAGAGTAAGAATGAATAAAGGGGGTAAGAATGACAAAAGAAGAAATAGTCCTTAAAAATGTAACTTTACCTATCAACATATCACATGGTGGTATTTTAAAAGAGTTCATTTTTGGAATAGGGAGGTGGGAGGTGAGTTTTAGAAAAGAAACATATCTGAAAATGTGGTTAAATCCTGGAGGTTTCAAGATACTAAAGCCAAAGGTCTGACTGCTTCCAGCTGCAAATACTTTAAAGGACAAGTCAACATTAAATGTAAATCTTTACTTTGGGAATATTTAAAAAAATTCTCAAACCACAAAGCAGATCTTTTGGGGTTCATGTTAACAAATTAAAAAAAGTGAATAAAAACAAAAAATAAAAACAAAAGCAAAGAACATGAAACAAACTTTGAACATACACTGAAATGCTTGCCCAGTTCTGCCCTTTTTGTCTCAATTTTTTCTGTGTTCGTCTGCGCGCACCACAGAATATTCACTACCACTTTAGATTTGTATTCCCTGTTTTAGTATGAATCAAAAATGCTACCACCACACATACACCCACATGCACGCACTCACATATTGTTCAAGTACCAAAAAGAGGATTTTCTACATTAGCAAATGTGATCGTAAAACAGGAAAATTGCTACGTGAACAGAAATAGCATTAAGTCAGTGTAAATGTTGTCAAGGCTTTCCACAGCAAGCAAACAACAGCATAATTAGATCCAAACCACCCAAGCCCTTAAATATAGCATGACATGTGACCACATTTCAATTGTTTTTAGAAAAAGATGTCTAAGAAACCTAGTAAGTCTAAATCTTTGCTTCTACAGACTTAGTCTGCCTGTGCTGAGACAGGCAAAAAATTAGCTCCTATCCCAGTTCCTGAGCTTCCACAGCTTGGTGTTAGACTGTTATATATAAAATAATTTGGTGTGGTTTTCATTTATTCTTAAACTTACTGAAACACCAACAGTTGTTAAGTGAAAAGTGCTGGGTTTGGAGGGATTGTGCATGCCAATTTATGGAAAGATAGGGCTGAAAATGGATTTGGAAGATGGGCTGTGGGGTAAACAAACTATTTGGAGCCCTCACTGCTTTTTGTTTGAGGCCAGGACCCTAAGGTCTACACAATCAGCGCTCTGTCTGTGGAAAGGTTTTAAAAACGTTTGCATCCTGCTCACAGCAGCTCCAACTGCTTGGCAGGTTATTTCCGAGACTCAGGGGGTTTAACTTGTGGTTTCTGATGCAGTGCAAGGAACCAATAATTGGGGGGGGGGGGGGGGGGGGGGGGGGGGGCTGAGCAATGAAGTCTCACATACATAACCAGGAACTGGTTATGTAAGTAATATGGAATTTTTGATTTGCAGGCTAGAAAGAAACCCGTGGATGCTGGATTCATTCCTATTCCAATAAATAAATTGTTTAAGGTACTGCTTTGTGCAAAATGGGAATAGAGAAAACAATACTGTATGCTTCCTGCATCTATTCTTCCAGGAACATTTCATCAAGTGTGTGTGTGTTTGTTCTTATGGAACAAACTGGCAAAGAAACTAGGCAGCAAAAGGACTGGCAGTTCAATCACTTTTCATTCTTAGCGGATATATTGTGCATCACAACAAGGAAAACAACTGCAAAAGGAGAAGCAGTGTTCCACTTGGAGAAAGAAAAAGTACTGAATAACTTGCAGTTCTTGAAAATACACTTAAGATAAACTGACTATTAGAAGACACTCTTACTCCACACAACCACTTATCAAGTAACACTGGTGGGGATATTCACCTAGATGGGCCACATAGATAAATATGTTCCACAGCTCTCGTATTAAAAATAAAATACAACCATTTGCCACCAAAACAAGCCTAACTCAGTTGGCTTTGAGAATATAGTGAGCTTTCTTGTACTTTGGCCCTACATATTCATCCATTTAATTTCTGCAGTTTTCTCTTTTGCATTTGTTTTAGCTTCAAATATAGTTATTGATACTAGCAAGACAATAACAATAAAAGGTGATTTGAACAATGAAAATTATGATGCAGTCACTTGAGATCAGCTAAAAGTGAAAAGAGGAAGAAAGCTGAATGAGGACGGTAGTAAAAAAAACTTGCCAGTATTTCAGTTGCCTTCAAAATGATTTTTCACTTGCCAAGTATGTCCAAAAAAGTCTAACACAAGAGGCAAGCAGGAGCATGTGAACACCAGATGGATAACACCAACAGCTGTTACCTTTTTACCTAAACCAAGTGGAAAGAGAAGCGAACCAAAAGGAAGCTGTATATAAATTTAATTTGTGTGCTGTATTGATCTAAGTATGTCAGCATAAGCTCATTTTTAAAAAAAGTACAGGAAGGAAGCTTTTGAAAGAAAAGTGTACACAAAGTTAGCTGGGAAATGTAAATGAAAGGTTTAAAGAAAGCATTTATTTATTAATTTATTAATATTTAAAACAAAAAAGGAAATGAGAGGACAAGATCCTATTTGAAGCTGGCAAAACATAAAGTTCACATTGTGTACTTACACCAAGGTTCCCAGATGTCAAAGGCAAAAGGGGAGGCCAGTGCCGAAGGAGGTGGGCAAAGGAATCCAGCTGATGGTGGCAGGAGGGAGCTGGAGGGTCAAGCTGTGCCTTGGCACTCTCTGACAATTGCTCAATCTGTCAAAATTGTTATGTGTGGAGGTACTGGATACATCCTTACATACCATCAGAAAAAAAAAAGTTCCTTTGGCACATGTCCTGGCTACACCAGTATAAGTTACGTTAAGAATTCTGTTCAAATTGTTTATATGGGCAAAAAAGACTGATGTTATCTGAAGCAGCGGGAATTGTGTCATGATGCCTAATGCTACCAATGAGTATTTCACTGGCTATATGTTAAGTTGAACAACTTACAATTGTTCCTGCAGAAAAGGCCATTAAATTTTAGGCTAAATTGTGTGAAAGGAAATCTAGGTAATGTGCAGATATCAGATTAAAATGTGCAAGTTGGTCCAGTCCCTGGAAGGTCTTCCTGCTGTAAAATCCAGAGCAATACTTAAATAAACAAAGATATTGCTGGTGGATGGGGAGGGAGTGGGGGATCTAGTTATGGGGAGAGGGGGCTGTAGAAAGCGGCAGCACATGCCATCATTTAGTATCTTTTCCCAAAAGACGTTTTGGGGTCGTGTGATATCCACCATTCCAATTCAAAAGACGCTTCTGCAGTAAGCTGCTCATCTTAAGTGGTGGAAGATTAGTGCAAAACAGAAGTGCTTTGGGGACATGTCCAGCAAACTAGTTTGGCCCCTCCAACTGCTGATTAGTGCTCAAGATTCATCATTTTTTCCTGTTCAGCAATTCCATATTTTGCTTAATACTTCTATGTTCCTCTATAGTGCATTCTGCTTTGTGTAAACATTAGTCTAACAGTCTCGGGGTTCAAGGTGGCACTGAAGGTACGGTTAACCAGAAATGATCCATGTCCCAACTCCCTGGCATGCACTTCAAATATTACACCAGAGAAAACAAAAAAAGGAAAGATTTCATGCTGAATTTGCTTAATTTCCTCCCTTTTGTGTAAGGAAGTTTTCTAGCTCAAGTATCGTCTTTAGTAATGACAACAAAGATTCAACAAGGGTAGTGACAAAAAAAGTCAAAATAGTATTGTACCAGCTCTACCTCTCACAGTCTAATGGATCCAGTTCTCACTCTGCTATAATTTCATTATTGGATGTTACATATAGTCCAGATGAATCTGACATGGCTAATGAAGACCAAGCAAAGCTGTTTACATACTGATAAATTCTACCACTTTATATCTCAACTAGTCTCACAGAACTCAAATGCCCAAATATTCTGCCTCATTGTAAACCAACAATGAATTCTAAGGGTAAGTAGACAACCAGTGCATTGGAATTAATGATTTAGCATGCAATCCAAATATGTTACAAGTATAGTTTTGAAGTCAGTTTCAATAAAGTGGACTGCACTTAATTTCTGCGGTTGTAGGGCTTTTGTTTGTTTTTTGGTTTAGCAAGCCGCTGAGAAGTAATCCATTGCACTTTTAGTTTTTTTAAAGAAAACAAAATGTTTTCAAACAGAATATTAATTGTTCAGCATAAGCATGTCAAGAGCCAGCTTCATTCTGGTTTACATTCCAAAGCTTAATATGTTTTTAAAAACAAAATCTGACATCCTGGGAAGAAAGAAAATGTAGTTTCAAAGTAACATGGGGAAAGTGGTGCAGTTACAACAGGTCAGAGTTTTGAAAACTACACAAGAAAGTTTTAGCTTTTACATTTTTTTATCTTCAAGTTTTGGCAAGTGTGCGATTGCAAATGCAATTTATTTCTGGTAAGTGCTCAATCCAGCAATGAGAGAAGTTTTGGTGGGTTCAGTTTGGTTTCTTTTATTTGAAGACCTGTAGTGCTGTCGAAACCAAACTTTGTTATTGTTGGTAAAATATAAAGCAACATTTCTTTGAGGATATTCCTTTTAAATATGAACCTGAAACTCTCCCCATAATTCCTTTGGTCTCCTCTCATCAAATACCATGCTACATCAAGATGAGCCCTCATTTTTAAAAGTTTGTCTGACTTGCAGCAAGGCTGCTAAAATTAACAGGAAAAGTTTCTGCTGCACAGAACTTTCCCCCATTTCCTGGCGCATAATAAGACTGAACAACAATTACCAAGACCTCAGAAAAACAAAATCCAAGTAGAAGTTCCACTGATGGCACCTGGCAAAAATACTTCTCTCCACAGTTTTGCTTCTTGTTGTTTTGTATGCATTTTGAGAGTTTCCTTGTTCCTTAAAGGGAGAACAAGAGACAGTGTTTCCTTATATAAAAACACCTCCGATCTTCAGGTAGCACCAGGGCACCTACCCCAAAGCTGTTATCTTGTTGCTGCTAGGTCTCCAATTCACATTCATCAAATCACTTCTTGTGCAAAACAAGCAGTCTAAGGAGAAAGAATGCCCTCTGGGTTCTAGTAAAAACGGTAGAAAAGAAATCCAAGATAACCAACACTTCACCTATATTTCACCCTCCTGAAATTTATCTGCAGAGGGAGGACATCTGTGCGTAGACAGGATACGCCAGCCGGACATTGAGGGAGTCGTTGTGTTGGACAAGGGAGGTATGCTGGTAATGGAGGACTAATTCTTTGAGGGTGCTATAAAGGTTGTAGGGCTCTGCAAATCCATAACCTCTAGGAGTGCTGTAAATCACACAGTGTTTAACTTCACCATCAGCTCTGTAAAGGAAAAATAAAGGGAGTCAACTTAAGAGGGTTATAGTCAAGGAAATACTGAATTGTCACAATGAACAAAAAACAAACACTGTAAGCAGTCATGCACAGGTAATGATTTCTAGATTTGAAATAGCTTACTGTCTTATTAATGGCCTTCCATCATACAGTCAAGTCTATATTTTAGGAAGCCTTTGGGTATTAATAGAGTTTGCACTCCTCCGAAAGATTTTATATAGTATCTTTTGTTCTTTGTTCTGTTGTTATTTTGTCTTATGATGTTTTCACAATCTCTACTGATTAGCCAGTCTGAAGAAAGGCATAGTATAAACTTTTGGAATTTTTTACAGATGAATAAATCCCGCTCTAAATTTTAAGAAATAATTTCAAACCCTATTAAATTTATTTTTGCAGGAAGGATGCACCACCATATTCTTATTCTGACACAAGAAGTGCCACTTGTTACATAATTTTAATATATAGGCGCATTTCTGGATGATGGGACTATAGTGGAGGAAAGTCTTGCTGATCTACTCATCTTAAAAACAAATTTCCCTGTACCTGATAAAGTAGTAAACCAAGAATCACTACTTACACCACAGAACAAGCATAACAGCCTTTCTTGCTACTTTCTCGAATTAAAAATGCCCCATCAGGTTTTCCACAAAGCAAATCTTCTGCTTGAATACGATTGAGATCACCTACAAACCAGGTCTTTTCATCATAATGTGGCAGGTTTTCGTCCTCTTCATTTGTAAAGTATGTACTAGAAGAGACAGCAAATTGAATTTCAGTATTTCTCTGAGCATTAAAATATAGAATTTCTGAATGAATTCAAAAGCAAAGAAACATTATCACTCCTAACATCCATTAGAAGACAAAACCCTAGAGCAAGGGTGACAAAAGTGTGTCTTGCATCCATCCCCCAGGACTATTTGTTGGCTCTACAAGCCAATCTTTGGCCCAAAATATCTTCTGCGAGTATGGGGAATTTTGCAAAGTTTTTGAAGTCCCTGGGCCATTTTAGTCATAGGGGAGGCCTGAAAAAAGGCATGTCCAGGACATACAACAGCCTGGGGTAAGGAGTACTGAAAAATCCCCCCCCCCCCCAGAGGGCATATAGAGATTAAAATTTTCTGTGAGGAATGCATTCCTCTAACACATCTTGGGGAGTCAATGTGACTCCCTAACCCTGTCAGTACCTTACCACAATCATAAGATTCAGGAACACAAGGTAAGTGTACACATGAAAATGATCTTAGACCCCTTCATGCATTAAGAACAGCAATACATTAACAACAACAACAACAACAACAACAACAACAACAACACTATACCACCAAATCATTCAAGTGCACCCAGTTCCCATCAGTGTCCAGCTGTCACTATTTATATGTCACTGATGGCATTTTTTTAAAGCAATAGGTGCCAATTATTTTTTCTGAATGACTCCTTTGGTAGTTTACATAGCCATGAAAAATACATGTTAATTTAATGTAAGTTATGTTATGGTTGGTTGGTCTGTTTGAAACCAATCCATGATAATTAGCTTAAGGAAAAAGTACATGTCTATAAGGCAGCTACATTAATGTACTACAAAGATTATACTCTTGTTGTGCATTTTTATACAGTTTGATAATTAATTCTACGAAGTGATACAAAATTCAGACCACTGTTGCAAAAACACTTACTCATCAATGTTTTCATTTTTGATTCCCAGCCATTCATTTATTCGTTTCTGCCTCACTCCTTTATGATTAAGCCAACTGATAATGAGATACAAGGCACATTATTAATACAATATAAAAGGGTCATTTACAAGAAGACAATCAAAGATTCCCCAAACACCTTGAACTATAATCCTGTTTTTACATCCTGAAAAATATATATCTAACATTACAAAAAAGCATACCCAGTTGTGCATTGTTACACACTGTTTGCTAGCTTCAAAAAATCGACTATGGCTCTACCAGGGTCTCTACATAAGGTTACATTCCATTTTTAATATATACCCCACCCAAATGTGACAATAGTCCATTTGATCAATGATACCTGAGCTATGGAGAATATTAAGGCCAAAAGACATGGCTTAGTTCTCTGTTCTGGCTTGATTTGTTCAACACTGTGAATTTTGTACAGTTTGCCCTTCATTTCTTTCAAAATGAAATAAAATATTTACTTGGAACTAGAATGGGGCAATACTGAGCACACTGTGCAATTATTGTGCTGAATAGGCTAACCAGATGTTAAAATTCTTCCATATCAAGAAGTCCTGTTTACTTACACAAGGTACTGATCTCTGATTTTGCGTAGCTGGATAAGATCAGGTTTGATACTGTTCATTTTCTTGTCAATTTCCCGGTTGTCCAGGGCTTGCTTCTTCAAATCCTGTTCCAGTCGTAGCTTACTGTCATGAATCTCCCCCAGGCGTGATTTTAATTTTTCATAATTCATCATAATCCTGTAAAGCAATGTATGATGTTTTAAAAGTCACGTATACTATGCACCTAAATAAAATTACAAGCTCTCATTTTAAAATATACATGGAGTTCATCTATAGCTACTTAGCACATAACTATTATGATAGCCATTGTGCAGAACAGAGTCCACTAAAAGGCATTGCATTCTCAATTCAAATTTAAAACATCAAACCAAAAACAAAGAATTATGACTTTGGAAAAATAAATATCAGGTTTGGCAAAGGAGAATCCAGAAAGTACAACCTTAAGACTAGTGCAGACTGACACTCTGTTCCACTGTATTATATTTAAATGGGAAGAAACCAAAACTTTCCTACCTATCTATAACAATTCTAGCTGGAGTTAACTATATTTCAGCAAATTGGACGGATAAGAATAAAAAAGCTGAATATTTCCCAGGCTAACTGTGCTTTCATCTTCAGAGGTATATAATAAGTAGTCATGGCAAATACTAGGCAAACTACTTGTGGAACACTCCTCAGTTTTATTAATAAAAGCCCACAGTATTAACATCTTGCTCTTTATTATTACACCTTTTAATCTTTCAGGTCTGGCTGCATCAAACTGTTTTTTTTCTAGTTTTTTTTGTACAGGCCCTGCTGGTTTAATATTAGTGTAGACTTGTTTGTTTGTTTTTTATTGGTAGTATTCCTTACCAATATTTTTTAAAACACATCAAGAATTCCTTTTGTCTTTTACACAGTCATTACAATAAACAGCCAACATTGTTAAGCTATTTAAAAGTAGTATTTATTTGAAAATTTAAAGAGCATGTTTCTTGCTGGACCAGTTCAAGGTTCATCTATATAGCTAGGTATAAGTAGAGTTAACTAACAGAACGGATCCCAGCGGTTCTAAATTGTAGGCAGGTACAGTCAAATTGGCAATAAAATAATACCAAATTGAAGCATGGTAAAGAGTGGACTATAGCATAAACAATGAAGAGAACCAGTGGTGTAGTGGTTTCAGTGTTGGACTAGGCTCGGCCATAGAAACCCAGCCTCAAAAGAAGGCAGAATTAAACCTCCTCTAAGCAACTCCTACCAAGAAAATCTTGGGATAGATTTGCCTTTAGGTCATCATAAGCTGGAAATGACTTGAAAACATACAATGGCAGGGCTAAAAAATGGTTAACGTTGATTCTGAAATAAAATTTTGGAAATAGAATGCTATAGCAAATTCTCCACTATTCTTATAAAAACAAGATACACAAAACAAAGCCAACAGAGACAGTATCACCCAAGATTCTTATTAGATAAGGGTGGCCAATGGCATTAGAGCATCTGGCCATCTACTATTTGTCCACAGCATTTTCTATAAAAGTATTTCAACCATATCTCATTTAGTTATCATGTTTAGTTGCCCTGCCCAATATCATTCCCAACTCTATCCAAATTCTATTAACCCTTTTCAGATGAGGTTTGTCTGAATTTCTGTAGGGTCAGAACCATGTCTTTCTAATGATTTCATATTATTGCCTTCACAGAAGCAATATTTCTTTAGCTAATAAAGACTTCTTAAATATTAAAACAATCAAAGAAAATCTATCTAGATTCAAAAGATCACCGGGACGTATTTGCATATTTTCCTGTCAAGTTCCTCCAGTGTGTGGCTGCTACTGCTATGCTACTTGTATTTTCAAATTGAATATTATTTATCAAACTAGTTTAAAATACATATTTTAACACTCTGTCTCATTCAAACTTCAGGAAACTTAACAACCAATTCTAATAACTGAAAAGAGACATGCAATGTCATGCTGGGCCAGGGAATGTCAGCAGATACAGTGATTTGGCAGACCTACCTTTCAATTTCTTTTTCATTCCCTTCTCTTCGAAAACGTTCAATGTACTCCTTGCTATATTGCTCTTGGGTGTGACATTGTTCTTCAAATATTTTAATTGTTTCATTAAATGCTTCTATTGCTGTTCGCTTCATTTGAATTTCCTGCACAGAAGAAACAGTTTTAAAGTTCATCATTAACCATTGACAGTATTGTCTTCTGCATTCTATATATATATTGTTATCTATATAAACAAAGAAGAATATTCATTTTGAGTTCTTAATATTTAAAATATGATTCAATAATGAAAAGTGTTGATTCCAAAACTGAGAAAATTAAATTAATCGACAAAGAGTCATTATCTGGCATTTCAACTTCCCTTTTCACCTCACAAACGGTGAGATTTTGTGCAAAATTAGGTCCCTGCAGCAATATAAGTTACAAGGGAGATACTATTTAACTCTTGTAATAACATTTCTGGTTATCTTCATACTGATGCTATTCTTTGTGCTTCAAACAGCATACATGGCTCTGGTTCTGTTCAGACTGAACACTAAATTGCATCAAGGAATTTTAATACAGTTAACACCTAGTCAAAGCAACTTTCTCCAAGTCAAAGAAACAAAAGGATTATTTTCTACTCAGTCCTCTACTGGTCTACCATTCAGGGGAGTCCTGATGCTTTCTTCTGAGACATCACAAAACAGGCTTCTTGCTGGAGTGACATCTAGTACTATACACACAATTCTCTTCAGCCAGACCTTGGTCAGTGCAGCAACACATCCCAAAACCTGCAATGACCTTTGATATAGTGCAGGAACAGTGAGCAGAAAGAGTATTCCTAAACCCTTCCTCTAGCTGCTTTAATTATGCAAACACTCTCACGTATAATTTTTGCCCTATCTGCTCTTGACATTGTTTTTCTAGTATGGCAGATGGGTACTTGCTTGCCTTTCCAATTATGTGCTGGGTAAAGCTGTCTAATTAGTTTGGGCCAAAGACATTTATGAGTCAACTTGCAACATACCTGTGATGTTCTGGTGTATTCTTCATATAATCTGTCATATTCTTTGCTTTTCTCTTGATATTGAGTGTGGTACTCCTGAAGCTTTTTCCCTACAGCATCAATATTATCTTCTTTTACCAACTGATCCTGCAGATGTCAAGGAAGAAAAAAATACACTGTTCTGTATGAGAGCTTCAAGCACTGACTGGTCTGCGGAAGATAGATATTATTAAACTTTATTAAGCTTTCTATCCACAACATTTATGTGCTTCCACTGGGGCCATATTTGCACCAACACATTTTCTCTAGCATTATACCAATTATTTGAGAAATATGTAGGAATATTAGACATTAAGTTAGTTCTTGGACCTTTGTGTGCACCAGTATTTGAAGCTAGTTACACAGCATTACCCTCTTGACATCAATTGCTTAATCTGAAAGATATATTTTAGAAAGAACATGACAGCCTTTGAATACTCTTAATTTTCTCCAAGAAATACACATACTGAGAGAGTTCTGAAGATACTGAAATGAAGTAAGAACAATTAATATAGCAAGAGTCAGAATTTGTGGGAAGCGAGAAATAGTAAGATAATGATCAACGCCAAGGCATGCCTACCTAGTGTAAATAGAGATTTTAAAACAAGATGTAGAGGATGAAACCCAAGCTGGATTCAAGACAATTCCTGAACACACCTGATGCTACAAGTGTCTAGTATTATGATAATTTTACAGTAGTTTTACATTATTTTTAATACTGAAGCATAAACTTGCTTATTTTATATGGCCAGTGAATGATCATAACAAAGTTAAATTTAAAAGAACATATCTAAATTAGGGATATCATATCTGTTTTATCTGGAAATCTTTGTTTGAGATTAGTGCTCCCATTCAAACTCTTGTCTCTATAAAAATAGTTTATGAAACCACTGTAAACAACTGCATATTCTGTAGAAACGTTACCTGCTGGTATCTAGATATAGGGTACATCAGCTTCACATCAAGTTTAGGATTATATTGGGCAAGAGACTCATGGTGATAGTGGTTAATTAGCTCCACAACAGAATTAAATGTCAATGGATCAGAAAAACCATATTTTCCATCTCGATGGTAAATTTTTATTAATTTATTGTTGCCACCTTTCCTATAAAAGAGATAATTTTAAAAAGTTATATCACAATCTGTTACATACGATATGTTAATACACAAAGTCAAACCAACTCTTGCACACATTTTCACTCTTGTATGCCATCTAATATTATAAAATGAGAATTGGAATATTCCCATTAGAATATTTTCCACATGCTGCATTCACAAGCTTCACTGTTTTTTAAGAAGTAGAATTTCCTCAAAGGTGCATGGAACTGCATGACCTTTTTCTAGTACTGAGGAATTTTATAAATGCATCATTTGACCTTTTAATCTGTTCATGTGATCCTGCTACTTTGGTATTACTCACAGGTATACTACAGAACCTCTTGCCAAAGATCTAGTTGGTCTCTGATATGCCTCTAAATTAGGTGGCATGTTTTGTTGTCAAAAGCATAGCACTTCTGGGTTTATTCCCTCAAAATGTGTAAGAACCAGAAGACATTTAAATGTTTTCTCTTTCCAGGTTTTATGGCTTTGCACCATACATTTTCAAAAACAGTACTTCCAGAACAAACTAAACAATGCAATAGGATTTTCTACAACTTTCAAATGTGTGGCTCAAAACACAGATAAGAACCAAACATATTAATTGGCTGCTAAGACCATATTTTATCCCAGCGCAATAATTCCATATTCCTGTGGTCTTCACAACAGAAAGCCAACAGCATCAACTCACATTTAATTTAATATAGTTGATGCTAATTCTTTTTGAGGAAAAGAAAGCACTGCTTTTGTAATTCATTACAGCAAGTCCAAAACTAATCATGCCTGACCCCAGAAGGTCATGAACAGGATTTCAACAAGAACAAAAGTTCCAGGACGAAGAAAGATGCAGCTACCATTCACATTCAATGAGCTATAATATCTACACCAGATTATCATTTGGTGCCAATTACAATTTTCTAATTATTTACCTTAGTGTCAACGTATAGTCTCCTTGTTTCTTTGTTGATGCATCTCGAACCAGGAAAGTTCCATCTGGCATGTCTCGTAGTTTGTCATTCACTTCTTCCCTGGAAGAATGAAAGGCAGATAAAAACATATTACTAACGTTACTTTACCTTGCTCTTAGGAACACTATTAATTGCAAAAGTGTACCAAACGTTCTGCTCTGTTTTACTTCTTAAATGATCATGCATATGCTCCTTAAACTGTTACTTTCTAGACGTGTTTGCATAAAAAATAGAACTTACCAACTTTTAGGGTTGGCTTAGGTAAGTTTGCATTTTAAATAAATCCCAAGCAGCTTCACTTAGAAATCTGTTTCTAATGTCTGATGCTAGTGTCTGAGCAGTGACATTAACACTATGATCAGCAGAAACGATGGGGCTGCTTCAAACCAGCCTAATTTCCTACAGTTTTTTTAAAAAATGTCAAAAAAGAAGGCCAGTTCAAGTCATTTACACCAAGCTTTCAGTTTTGTGTAATTCCATGTATTTCCCATACAAGAATTGGTTCTTATAGACATTTAACGTGCACCATTTTACAACTAACTAGACTAGCACTGCATGGAGCACAATTTTCATCCTCTGGACTAAAAGCTTTTTATGTTTAGAGACAGAAAAGCAATTATGAAATCAAGGATTTCTGTCTGACTCTTCTGTATGTGTGCAAGGACAAAATGTAGAAGCACTTCTTTGAACACAGAGAATGCTCATGGAGCAATTTTGACAGTTTATGTGTGAAAAAGCCTTTCCCCATGAGATACAAACAAAGTAAGAATGTTGCCTTGTTGATAGAATGAAAACACTTATAACTGGTACAATCGACATAATTGTCGGCACCTGTGCACCTAGTATGGTTGTAAAAAACCACACAGTAATAGATGTACAACGATGGGGCAAGGGGGGAGGATTATGCTGTTTTGGTCTTCGATTCACAGAGTCCAAAACCTTTAATTCCCTCACACTCCTATGCTAGTCTCAGAGTTTGTATAGTTAATCTTCTACCTGCCTTTGCTAGCCGAAGATAAACAAACACATAGAATTATCCAGATGCAAAACGGGATGCAAAGAGGTCATATGTCCCCTCTCCATTGGCCTTTCTAGCTGGCAGGGCACAGGATGCAGTAGCAGCTCCGGCACATATCCTATCCTTGCTACCTCTACAGAGTTGCTCTGAACATAACCTTTTGTATCAAAATTATAATGGCTGACCTCATGTATTTTTGTCTCTGATGTTCTTTTTTTCATGAAAAGGTAGAATATCAGACTGATTTAATTTATTTAGGTAATTCAATTTATGTCGAGCCCTTCATTAGAATCTCCAGAAAGACAATTGATAGAAGGGCAGGGCTCCGTGCCTGAAAATACTATCCAATTCAGATTTCACTTGGGTTATTTCACAAGCTAAGTATAACTTCAATTCAATTTGTGTTTTTTAAACAAAATAAGGAGAAAACTGATTTATTTCTTTAAAAGATATTTCTCAATCCTAGTCTCACTGTGAGGACTCCCATAAATGTTATTGTTGTTTATGTTCAAACATGTTATTTAACTTCAAACTCATTTTCTTCACAACGCTGCCCAAATTAGCACACATTTGTAATACATACATATGTAGGGAAGCCAAAAATTCAGCCAATTCAGCACATATTTTTTTTTACCTTGAGATGTCTCCCCAGTACCATTCTGCATCCTGTAGTGATAAGATGCAATTCTCTTTTAGTCCATTTGTATTAACTGGAGTTATTGGTTTGGAGGGCTTTGGAGGAAGAGCTGAAAAAGAAATTTGGCTGATTTAATTTTCTGACTTTATACAGCAACTTTAAATATTTGGTATTAACTTAAGTTAAAGCAAACTATAGCATTAAAGATCTGTCAGAACTGAAGAAAAACACATTTAGGCTCAAAGCTGATTTTTGATTACTCATAAAAACTATTTCAGTGAGACATTAATTTATATACATGCTATAAAAATAGTTCCACTATCCTGCATATATTTCTGAGCACATAAACCTCTCAAATTTAACTGGGATTTTGGACTGGTTCAGACAGACACCTGGTTCAGATACAAACTCAGCCCTGAGTGTACAAGAGCTTTCAGGTAGCTTTAGTAGTTTTAAACTCCCAACTGTTTCTACCACGAGCTATAAAGCTCTGTTACTATCTTTTCAACACTTTCAAGAAGGGCCAGGCTCCTTCAGAGAAGGAACAACTCCCTGAATGTGAATTCCTAGGTGAGTTAATGGCGATAATGTTGCCATTGACTCGGGTTGACTGGTTACAACCACCAGTTGCTCTCACTGCTGCTATAAACCATCAGTATAGGTAGATGTACAGACTCTCAAGTGAGCTAGTTCATAAGAGCCGCCGCAAACTAGCCTCCTGCGGGAGCAAACTGTGCCAGCACGTCCCTGACGTCATGAGACTGCGCCTCTCTCTCCGCCCCTTTCTCTGCCTCTTTCTCCGTGCCAGAGTGGTTTTTCCTTTGCTAGGGCAGCATTGCCAGCGTACTCTCGTTGTTGGAAGAAGGTAGTTGTTTTAAAAATCATGTAACCATCACAGAGATCTGAGCCATGTTATGCAGCATTATGGGATTATGAGTTTGATGCTGGTTAGTTATCTGGGCCCACAGCAACTATGCAAAGTGAGGAAATATTTTGGTAAGCCTGAATAACTGATGACAAAGAAAGTAAAGTTGGAGAGAACAGCATGCAAGTTCTTGCTTTTCCTTTACTGCTCTTGTTAAGAAATGGGACTACAAAGTGGACTCCACAACATGTGAGTATGGAAAAGAGCAAACCACAGACCACTTACTAAAATGCAGTCTGAGCCCTGCCACATGCACAATTGACGACCTTCTTACAGCCACACCAGAAGTACTCGAAGTGGCCAGCTTCTGGAGTTTAGTACAATACCAAGCTTTTAACTTTGTTTGCGGTTTTTGTATGCATTATAACTGTATTCTCAATTTGCTTCTGACACAATAAATAAAAAGCAGAACAATGCATCTCAAGATCTCTCGAGGACAAAATCACCCAAATTACCACATGTCAAGTAGAGCAGCTGATCACACAATATGATACATGAAGCAACCTGTGCATGGAAATGGATTGGAGGCAGGGAGCAACAAAAAATCTTATCACCCTGTCAGTAAAATTTCCTGATCTCTAGTTTAAACAAAATATTTAACCTGAATAAATCAACTGCTTAAAGATCTTTCTGCATTTTTCACCTAAAATGCCTACCACACCAAGGCTGTAAACACCATACACAAATTTCAATTTCAAATGCTTCTTTTGAACACTCTAAACATAAAGATTCACTGTTTTCATAAGCAAGCGACCCTTGCTGAATAAAGCCATTTTAAAAATCTAAAACTTTGTCCTAATAATTCAGACACTGGGTTGCTGACTAAACATCATTGAGTTGGTAATACTCATTCTATTCTATAAAATATTCAAGTAGGTATACAGAAGTATGGAGACCAATGCCAATGCACCGCGAAATTATAACTAGACAGATACAAATAAACCAGGAATTATATTCCTTTCCCCAAATATCCGTTTTCAGTTCTGGAGGAACAGCACCCATGAGACATCTGAAGGCCAAGCCTGCCAATCATGGTACTACCTTAAACCATAACATAATCTTTGAACCCAACAAAGTGACCGAAAGGGGCTGCTGGAAAGCACTACGCCAAGTTGCTTATCAACACTTTTGAAATGAACTGAGCTATTTGGAAATCAAATCCTGATTCTCTGTCTCCCCCCCCCCCCCCACAGTACCTTATTTCTATCTCATCCAATCAAATGAGGCTGACAGATTCTAATATAAAAGGGTAGGTGGCAGGTGATCCAAGTTCCACCCTTTGATCCCAGGATAGGCTATGTCCATATTTTATTCTTAAAATGCCTAATTTATTTTCTATTGTGGCAAAAGTGTACAGGAAGAACATTATAATGAATTTCCAATTTAATCTATCTCTGTAACCACAAACGAAAAAGGCTGCTAGCTGATTTCTCAAAACATCAGTAAAGAGGCACCATGATTCATAGTTTTGCTCCAGACTGCTTCTATAGTTTTCTTAGAAAAAGGAGCATTCACTGAGAATTTACTTTACACTGAGAGATACTGTATATCCACAAAATAAAAATATTTAAGAAAAAGGCACTTCACATGTGATCACATGGTTATAATCATGTATGATTAATCTGCTAAACATGTCTCTTCCAATATTTGGACATTGTTGCAGGTTGTTGTATTTGGACAGGTTGTTGCAGATATGCATTCTCTGATGTTTTGTTTGCTCTGGTAAATAACTTTTACTATACTGGAAGGTAGATGAAGGAGTGTGCACTAGCTCTTATATTTGGAAACTTTCTTTCACACCACCTGTTCTGCTTTGATATAATTATCCTTTAATAATGAAGCACTGAGGAATGTTAGGGATTGTTGTGTGGTTCAACCTTGTCCCTCGTGTTTTTAAATGGGAGCTACATAAAACTATTGGAAATATTAGCTAGAGGTTAACACAGCATGATGTGCCCGAATAAATGCACAAACCAAATCCAGATAAGACATAAACAAAGCAAAGGATCTGAATTATCTAGCACTTGCTACAGTTCACCTGTAGAGTATGGGGTTGTTCTTCCCTTGAAGCACCAGGCATATAGTTGATGGGTACCCATCTACATTAGCTGCAGCCATCAGTGATGACTTTGTCTTTGTCATATATGTTTTCATGGCTTCAAGGCTGGACCTATGGCCACATGTTCTACATGATCCTGCCCTAGACAGTTCAGAAACTGGGGATAAAATATAGCACGCTGCACCAGAGTAAGTAAAAAACACATCAATTTTGTTTCTATGCACAACCTCAAAGTTGATGGCATTCAACTCTGGGCCCATTTATTTTACAGAAAACCATTCAGTAAGAAACTTTTAGTTTCTACTCAGTAGGTTCACCAACAGCTAGACAAAGAGACAGAGAGGGAAGACTTTCCACTAGTTGCACTGTCACTTCGGTGCCCCCATCAAAAGCCACTTTTTTCCCTTTCAGAAAGACAATTGCATTATTCTTTTCATTTCAGCAGGCTAAGTTTTTAATAACTATGACACACTTTGCTGAACAACAAAACTCCTGTCTTCTCATTGATCTGCATAATATGTGAAAAAATCTGAGGAGAAAACTGAAATGTTGCTGGGCATTTTCAGAGTGTTAGGGTTACAAACTGCTGCAAGCAAAATTGTGAAAACCAACCTACTCTTCTATATGAGGGGCAGGATGCATGGATTCTTTGAAATATCACATGATGTTGCCCCTCGGGCTTTGCAACTCTTCATCTCAGCTGGATGCACAAGCAATACAGATGGCAACCTCAAACTCTCTGCTTTGATAAACAGGACACATAGCAATTTCAGTCTACATATGCAACACATCCCAGGTGTACAAGACGATTAAAGATCTAAAACAGCAATATTAATAAAAGGCCCCAGAATAAATGGGCTTTGCAAAGAAATCTATAGCTCAGAAAAAAATTCCTTGGGACAGAAATTCCTCAAACCTGGGGGTAGTGAGAATATTCTGCTTCTAGTAACAATTCAATATCCCTAGTCAGCAGCTGGATAAGGACTCTCAGTGAAGATCTAAAATCACAAGTAGGCTCCTACAAGACTAGGCTCTCTTTTCTCACATCATAAAGGGATTGAAGCCTAGGAATTTTTACTTTGTTCTGGTTTTACTTGGATTTTAATATTCATTCTTTTGGCTTTCTTGTTCTGATATTATGTTGTTCTGTTGCTATGGCTAGCTTTAATTTTTTATGAACTGATTTGGAAATGCTTAGTGTTTGAAGACTGGAATATACATTTATATATGTATAAATATGAAACAGCACATTAATTAGGCCCAGAACACCACCGGCAGCCCTTGCAAATTAAGGAGGAATTTGTTTAATACATTTGATATCACCACAAACAAGTAAGCTATGGTGATGTACATTAGTTTTTACAGAGAACACTGTAGTAGTTAACCCTTGAGGTTGCGAAGACTTGGATAACAGCTGCAAACCTTTGGATCTTTCCAATGAGATGCAGTTGTCTAAGAAATGTGACTAATGGACATATTCTTGCCACATGCTTTTAAAAAGAACAGTACAGATTCAGGTTAGCACCATGACTTTGTATCTATTTCCATATCAATGTAAGTATACTATCAATATCAAGTACACTGCGTAATCCTAAAACATCAGGCCTCCCAGTAAATATCACTTCATCTTATGTGGGTTCAGTTTCTGCTTGCTAATCTACACCAACTTGATTGTAGCTTCTAAAACTGATTTGGAAGATTTACTTTTGAAAAACGGACCCCAAAGCAATATCAACAGTTTACTGATGACACCCATAGCTCCTTACAATCTGTCATAGCACTTCTATACATTACATTAAACAACACAGGTAATTTTGAGGGTTACCTGTGGAATCCTCCACCTATCAGAGGGTAAAGCTAGCACCTCTTAAGATCCAGGTGTCTTTGGTTTATTATGTTCCTATTTTTGACAAAGATATTTCAAGCTGCAGAAATTCTGATTTTAGAGTACACAAAAATTTAGACCTATAGTATAGGGCTCCCTTGGTAGCCCAGTGGGTTAAACTCTGCAGTTGCTGAACTTGCTGACCGAAAGGTCAGTAGTTCGAAACTGGAGAGTGAGGTGAGCTCCTGCTGTTAGTCCCAGCTCCTGCCGACCTAGCAGTTTGAAAGCATGCAGATGTGA